CTGGCATCTCATGTCTTCCTAAATCTTGGGATATCTGTTTGGCTACAGTTTGTTCTCTGTTAACTTTTTTTTTCAATAAGGCTTATAGACCCACATAGGAGCAATAAAGTTGGCTGTGCGACCATACACGCACCCAGGTGTGATAGTTTACCAGGAGCACTTTCTGGCCCCAGGGCTGCCTTAGTGAATCTCCTGTCTCAAAAAGAGATTCTGGAAGCATATGCTTTGGGGCAAAGGCCAAAGTCACCTCTTCTCTTTACTTCTTCCTTTACTGTCCTGGGAGTTTACTAGGTTCAGCATCTCTCTCTGAGTGCTATGCTCAGTCTCTTATGTGAACTGTATCAGTCTGTCTTAGGAATTACAGCTACTACTCCCCACACCATGCTACACATGAGGAAAAAGGCTCCAAGAGGTTTAAAAAAGTTCTTCAACTAATAAGGAAAAAAATTAATGTCTGAACCCAGACAATCTAGCCCCAGATCCCCTGCCCTTCCAAGAGGGAACCTTCAATGGTACTAAGTTCCAATGACAAGATAATTAGAACAAAATATTGTACAAATAAGATACTGGTCAACTTTCATCTCTTATCAGTTATAATTACATGCTGAGAAAGATGAGAACTGATCTGGCACTCACGGCTCTTATTAAAAGTAAGCAATGACACATGACATCAACCTCAGAAGAGGTCACTATGTGACTGATGAATTATGACAAAAGAAAGACCACTCTATAACATGTCTGAACGTGGAAAAGCATACAAACCTCTGCAAACCACAATGGTGACCAAATAGCCCCAAATGCTGGCTACTGGGAGTGACTACTGCTGCTTTATCAATGACAGCAGAAGTCTCACTTCAGTATTCCCACCTTTTAAATAAAGATTGATTTTAAGATATATAACCATATAACGACCATATTTGCAGATAACATCCAACCAAGGGCAAAGCTCTGCTTCTTTAAACCCTCCCCCAAGCCACCTGACCCAGATCCCATAGCCTTTAAATCCCCTCTGACCTCTTCCTAAGGTGCTCCATGTTTCCCCAAAGTGTGGCCCAGGAATTTATTTCAGAGGCAACAGGATTAGTAAATAATCAAATATTCTGGAACAGGGGAGTGACATGACCAAACTGTGTTTTAGAGGATTGAACCTGAATAAAAACATGAGGTGATGAAGAGAAGAGACTGATGGCAAAGGTAGCAGCCATCACAGTAGTCCAGAGGCTGACCAAGGAACACAGAGACAAAGACCACAATTCCAAGTGGCATGTGACAATTGCCAACACAAGGGTGGTGCCAGTGGGAATGACATGAGTTAATATTAACATTAGAATATCTGCAAGAAGAATTGATAGTGGGTGGAAATTTTGATATGATCTTAACAGGCAACCTTATTTAACATTCAATAGTTAGGGATTTACTTGGACCAAATTTCTCATAAGCTGTTCAGTCTCATTCTGAACAAAATAGATATGGGATTTTTATATCTATAAGTTTGCTTCATTAGCATAAGCTACAAAGTTATGAATAGGATGACTTTCTATTCACCTTGCTTAAATTATGAAAGTCAAGGTTGGATTTAAGCTTACCATATGGATAAGGGAGCGATTTAGCTCTTAAGTGTCTTTCAGAAGTTCCCACGAAGGGCATTAGAAGTTTTGTGAGCATATTAGAAAGCAAACTTGGGGCCAAAGTGTGCATATTCAGCAGACCTGTCTGGATTCTCCGCTCCAAGAAACTAACATAGATGAAGATGTGCCTCTGAGGAACTAAGCACACAATTATTCAAGTGAAAGTAAAAGAGATAGATGGTTCTGATGACAGAAAACGTCCCAACATTACATTCAATGGGCTGAGCTGGATGGGGGTGGGGCTTGGCAGTTCAGGATTATGAAGTTCCTGTTTAGAAATGGGCTTGATTCCAAGAGTTTTCCCAACTAAGGTTTTAAGAACTGAGTCCCTTGTCTCCCAGAAACAATGCTGGAAACTGTACTCGGGAGAAGAGTATACCTAAGAGAAGTTATGAAAGCCCATCCATCCTCCAGGAAGATTAATAATGATACTAACCCAGGGTTGAGACTGGGCAGAGGACCACATTTCTATGTAATGAATGAAGAGGAAATAGACTTATTTCCTCAGCCTCTCTTTTTGCTTAATGTACACAAAATTTAGATTTTGGTGGGAAAAAACAGAAGTCAACTTTGGCCAATCTTTCTCTCTGAGTTGACCTACCCTCTCTAGTAGTTCTCACCACAGGTGAGACAGTGCTCCTCACCCCAACTTACGCTTGGTTACTGACCTTCAAAATATAACACACCCCTAAATTATCTATTTTCCCTAGTTCCCCAAATCTCAAGACCTGACTTGACTGCATAGCTTACTATCTCTGACTTTGGAAATATCTGATTACCCAAACCTCCCCCTGTAACATAGGGATGATACATCTCTAATGGGGTTGATCTGAAAATCAAATGGAAAAAAAAGTCTATATGACTACTGCTGAGCTTGACATTCTGCATATTCTCAGTTATGTAGCAGCTTTTTATTACTTGGATTTAAAAGAGCCAAATACTTTGTACTTTTAACTTAGATAAATGTAGAATCTATTATGTTAAAAGGTTATTAGATACGAACTACAATTTTAAATGCTTAAAACAGTCAAACCTGATTCCTCCAGAAAATTCTTAAAAGAATACCATTTTCCCTAACACTTGTATGTAAATTGCATCTATACAATCTTACATCCTACCGGAGCCCCATCACTCAAAATCCAAACACATCTAAACATGAATCCAAAAGCACACAATCAGAAAGATGACCACACCCCTACAAGCAAATTGCCATTTAAAAATTTAAATGCTGGGATTTATTTTACCCAATATTTTAAATAACCTGGGTCACATCTTCTCTTTGATTAAAAAAAAAAGAAGTTTATCAACTGTTACCTCAGATTTTTTGCATCTACCAATAATATTGACTAATAGGGAACACCATCTTGAAAAAACATCACATTTGAATTTTTCTAAGTGGTAAATAGGTACAGAGATGAAAAATCATGGTGAAAACTGTACCAAGGTTAAACGCCCCTTCCTACCCTCTGCTTTCAGGCTCAAGAATCTTAGAACTAATTCTGAATTGTGATATCGAATCTGTCCCTAGTTGGAGTGGCAGACTTAATGCATCATTAATCTGGTCCGCTCTCAGCCGCCAATTGAAATAGTCACAGTCATTCGATTTTTAAGGAAAAGACAGTGCTGCAGAAGTACATTCCAGAGGTCTTTTCATAAAAACCATCCTGTGTGCTCCATCTGCATGTGCAATCTGCTTGTGTATTTTCAGCCAGCTTGCATGGGCAGATTAATGTGTACAATTAGAAAGCAACCTCACAGGCATTCAATAAACTGCCTTCATTATTACACTCAGGAGAGTCCCTTTGGATGTCAATAAAAGCCTAGTTTTCTGCCTGTTAGCTAAATAATTGACAACACTAAAAATAATCAGAAGCAAATGAACGGAGTCAGGAACAAGGTGTGAAGAAAGAGCACATTAAGATTCTCCTGGTGGTGCCCCAGGTGGCCATCATGTGCTTTTTCTCCAGCGACTTGGATTTACAGTCTACTCAAGTCCATGGTTGCCTTCTCTACAGGAAAAACACACCGTTCCTGGTCTGCTGTTTGAACCACACATCACAGCATGCTGAAACTAGCAGGGTATTGACTCGTTTGAAAGGATTTCTTATTTGGGTTTCTATTTTGTGTTCTTTCATTTGACAGCTTCAGGAGAATCTAACTTGGGGGTGGAGGGCAGATAGTCTAGTTGGTCTGGTGAAATCTTTGTGCTGTTAAAATTCTAACAGCTTTCCTAGATTTTTTTTTCCCCCCACCATGAACTGGTTCTAAGAAATTGTGATAAAGACTTGTTACAGGGAGGCTCCACCTATTCTAAGAAGTCCCTTTCATATTGGTAGCTATGTAATGGTCATTCATTTCATGAGCTATTGGCCTTTTAATTTCAAAAGTAATTCAAAACACAATGCTCTTAAAAGAAAAAAACCTCACACATATATACCTCTTCTTGTGTTTCTCAATAGCCTTTAAAAATCAATTTGAGATACTTCTCATTTTTAGCCAGCTTCTCTTCTTCCTGGTTAACTGGGGCTTTCACGATAAGCAGAAGAAAGAGCAAGAGTGAAATGTGCGAGTAATTGAATTCAACTCCACTGATAGTGTGGGAGGTGGCTGAGGGCAAAACTTTTTTTCTTCTTTACAGAAAAAGGGCGACTGATCTTTAGTGTTTAGTGAAACACAAACTCAAAAAGCTAGAAGATCATGAAAGAACGGAGGCTGGACAGCACAACCCCCAATATTTGAAAATTCCAAGAATCTTTCATCTTTCACCTTGCCCTGATTCAAATTCTCCAGACAGAGGATTCATTCAACTTCCCAGTCCTCTACTTAAGACCCCTCACTGGTAAGCAGGTCATCCCTTTTCCGGTGAAAACTAGTTTGGTATAATAGAAAATTATTTTGATATATGACCACCAATTGGGAGTTTTGACAATAATCACTAAATGACTGCAGTTTCTGAGTAGACAACATGCAATAGTATAGTAAGCCTCAGTCCACTGGATAAATCCCTAGTTAGTTTAGATTCTACTTCAGCATTTCATTTCAAACAGCTCCGTCCCTGTATCAATACATTGGAAGTCAATATAATTAGAAGCACACTGGATCACCAAAGAAACAGACCCTCCAAGACACTTTTAGTGGTGAATTTTTCAAATTTGGTAGTATTAATGCTAAGTGACTCTTAGAACACACTCTGATGAATATAGATGTCTCCAATCTTAGATCATCACATGATGACAGAGTTCAATTACATAATATTAGCAGCCATTAATCCAATGCCAGGTGTTTGCAAAATTACCAACATCTAGAACTTAAAAACTAAATGAATGAATGATATGCCTATAAATGTACAAAGTTCTGAAAACATAAACTTACTATTGGTGATGCTCTCTGAATGCTTCTCTACTGAGTTTTTCTTGAACTTGCTTTTTCTCCTCTAGCTTATTGCTCTGAAATTGCAAAGATCAAAATGTAATCTATTAAGGAAGATGTAGTTAGAATCATAATGTTGAAATTATCCAAGGTCCAAAATCCTTAGGTCCCAGTGACCCAATAGTCTAATATGATCTAATTTGGTTCCCTTCCAGAAGCTCCAAAATTATCCCCTCCCAGAAGCCACAGCCACTTCACGGAAAGCCAGGAGCCCTAAGTTCTTCCACAGCTCCCCTCTCCCAACTGTCTGATCACAGAATCATCATTGCACATTTTTATTTTAGTTCAAATGATAGCAACATTTTTAAGCAGTGTTTTCAAAATATTCTAATGAAAACATAAAATTTCCATACCAACTATGTTTACTTAAGATTATAATAAATGGTTAAATAGTTCATTCAAAATTTATGTGTACACCCACTTTCTACTAACGCATTCAGGAAAAGATTTTCAATAAGCCAACTCAACTCCCTTCTGACTTAGAATCAAACACTTAAAGCTGTTGAGAGACTGAACAGAACATGTCCTTAAAAAGCAATCCACTTGCATAAAAAGAGTTCTTTTATTTTTTTTAATTAGCTGTTTAGAGAGCCTAGAGAGAAAAGAACTTCATATTTGATATTACTGCCACCATGGCTCTGGCACATTTTAATCCAATTTAAATAACCCAGAACATTTGCTTTTTGTTCACCATGACACAGCTGTCATTTTTTTTACCTTGCCTAAGAAAAATAAGTAAAATTCTTAGACAACAAATTTAATAGGGAGTTGAAACAAGTTTACAACACAGGAGAAATGTGAAATTTTACATGAATCCAAGAGAGCAAGCAGCTGGGTTTAATTTTTTTAAAAATGGATTTGCCCAGAGGAAGACCCTTAAAAAGACAATAATGGAAATCAACACTCTTAAACTCTAAGTTTGGATCCATCTTTCAAAGAGAGGGAAAACTGTTCATATTGTTCATTTCCATGAAGGTCTTCATTCACCCAGAACTTTGCCATTTTGACAGGCAAAATGAGAACCGCTTTAGTTTTAGGGAAAAACTGTAGGAAATTTACTAGAGTTAAAGGGAAGCAATTATAATGGAAGCAATTGGATTGTTAATGAAACAATTCTAGGAAAATAACTAATGGAGAATTATAAAACCAAGTAAAAATGATTTCAGTCTGGATAAAGTCCTCGATCATGAGAACAAAAGTGGTCACTTAATGACAAGATCCCTGCATCCCCTACAGGAAAATAATTGAAAGTATGAAGGACAGCAAGCAAGCAGTAGGTGCTGATGAAACCAATGTTAGGCACACTCCTTTGAGAACAATGAGAAAGTCACACAAGTGTCTAGAAACAAAGGCTTGGTTCCTTCAGCAAGGTCAGGAATTGAGAAAACTGTTTTTATTCTCTTCGCCAATAGATTCCAACTCACAAAACTGTTGGATGGTAGCTACATTTTATCCAAGGAAAGTCTGTCTATCCCTCATCAGAAGAGAAAGATTTTGCAAAACCCTGGAGTATTTGAGAATCTGTATTCGGTACCTACCAACCTAGGCACTGATTTTACTATACTAATCCAAATACTTAGATTTAGTCAGATTGTTTATTGCTTTCCATTTAAGTCCTCATCCAAACATACTTATGCATGTATACAAATGCAAAATAACCCATTTGAGAGCATGAGATCCAAATGAAGAAAAGATGGAATCATTTTCTCTAGTTCACCATCACTGAGTGAACTTCAGCAAATCATTTAATGTTACTGAATCTCATTTATTCAACAAACATTTACTTAATGCCTATTACATGCTTTGTGCTGTTAGATGCTAGTAATGCAGCTATGAAAAAGCTGTGACTACCCTGGAAATTTCAAAGTCTAGCTCAGGATATGGACAAGAAAGCAACGAAGGAAGTATGTTAAGTATATTAGAGAAAGCAGTTTGCAAGTGAAGTAATATGAACACACGGGAAAAATACAAAAGCAGATGGTCAGGAAATACTGTTTCCATGTTCACTCTGTGCCTACTAAGTGGCAGGTTCCATCCCAGACACAAGAGCCAAGAACAACATTCAGAATGTGGCTTCTAAGCTCAGGTTCATGACTGAACTTCACATAGGAGAATGTCTTTATGGAGACTGTACTTAGAACTTTCGTTAGATTTTCTAAGGTGCTGATGGCAAAATCAAAGGACAAAACCCATAGGTATAAGGAGAAATAAAAATCATAGGTAGAGACCAATCTTAAAACAAGCAACAGTTTTCCAAGAGTGGGAAGAAGATGGTGCAAACCTTCAATTCATTGCACACCTGTTGTCCACTACTAAAGAGGGTTCCAGCAGAGGGGTCAGAAAGCCTAAAAGAAAGCTAGCATTTAGCTCATCAGGACTTGCTCCCCAGCAAGGGACTGCTTCAACACTAAGGATGCGTCTTTCTTTGTCTCATGAAGTTGCCATTTATCACCAGTCTGAGCACCCACAAAACGGACCACCTGGATTGAAGAACCAGGTTTTTTTTGTTGTTGTTGTTTTGGTTTTTTTTTTTTTTTATACAAAGGCAATGATGGGCCAACAATGTCCCTGGATAAGAAAAGCGCAATCCCAGAATTTACAGTGTTTTCAAGACATCAGAGAATATGCCAGTTCAGGAAATTCCAAGAAGTTCAAAGATAAATTGAAAGGTGTTTGTGAAGAGACGGGTGGAAGATATGGCTGGGAAAGTAAGAAGGGGCAAATGATGAAGGAATTTATATGTTCAAGCAAAGGAGTCTGGACTTCAGCAAAGGCAGTGGTAAGCCATTAAATTATTGTAAGCAGCACAGTAAGCCGCTCACTCAGGTAGCAACCCGGAAGATAAGCTGCAGAAAGGACTACCAATGTGAGAGAACACGAGTGGTTCTCACCACCATCCAAGTCAGAAACTATGAGAGACCCCAATTAGGGCAGCAGGGATGGAAAGGAAAAAAACAGTCGAGAAAAATGGAAGGGACAGAAGTAACAGGTACAGTTGTAGGTGGGATGAGTAAGAAAAGGGGAAGACAATCACATAGAGAATCAACACGAAGGCATGAGTTCAATTTGAATCCAAAGGCTCTGAGGCACGGGTGTGAACATCTATGCAGAAATCCCAAATATGTACTACGATATATGGTTCTGGGATTCAGATATATGTTCTGGCCTTAAGACATGAACCTCAGAAACCATCAGCGTGAGTAATGGCTAAATCCTTAAATGTGGGAGCTTTCACCTAAGGATAAGAGGTGTAGGCACAGAGATATCAGAGACCAATGGAGATATCAGAGACCAACAACGGACCTCTTAAAATATCCATAGAGGGAAAACAAGTGGATAAAAGGATCCAGAGAAAATATAGAGGGGTAGATTAAAGGACAGAGTATTTAATAATTAATAGCTACAAACTGTTAAGTATCTCCATTGGATTTTTCAATTAAAACATCATGGTGATCTTGGCTAGATCTATATTAGATACAAAAGCCAAATTCAGCCCACTAAGGAACTAAAGAAATCAGAGAAGTTGAGTACATAAGCCAGCTAAGGCCAGCATCAACCTGGGGAATACATTCCTAAAACAGATTCCTTGGTTCCAGTGACTGAAAAAGAGTGAGTCTACAAACTGACATTTGGAAACAAAATTTGGTGGTAGAGAAGTCTTTTAAGACATTGACCCATGGCGTTGAGAGCATAGAAGTTGGAAGTGGATTAGAATAGAGAGATGCTATTTGTTAAGGTTCGAGAGACCCAAGTATAAATACATACTAAGAGAGGAAAAACAAACAAGAAAGAAAAAGGGCTTAATTAAGAGATGCAAGGTCCCTGGGGAGATGGGAGGAAAGAGGAGATGGTGAACAAAAGGTGGAAGAATCCATCTTTTCCTTCCTTTAAGAAGGAAAGACACCTTCTTAAAATGAGAATGGGGATACAAGCAGCAAAGAGTAAGGGAACAAGCCATGTACGGTGGCACACGTATGTAATCCCAGAGCCTCAAGAGGCTAAGGCAGGAGGATCGCAAGTTCAAAGCCAGCCTCAGCAAAAGTAAGAAGCTAAGCAACTCAGTGAGACTCTGTCTCTAAAATACAAAATAGGGCTGGGGATGTGGCTCAGTGCCCCTGAGTTCAATCTCTGGTACCAAAACAAAATAAAACGAACAAAAAAGAGTAAGGGAACAGAAAGAAAAGAAAAGATATTAAAGGCCTAATGGGCCTTTCTTTCCTATGAAGTGGTCAATGAAGCCATGTGCTGAAAATAAAGCAGAGAAAACGAAGAAGGTAAAGTGAGCAAAGATCTTGGTAACTAAGGCTGGGCCTAGAATCCAAAGGAAAAATGCTAGACTTTGGACATTGTTAAACACCTAGCTGAGATGGAAGCCCAGAAATCCAGAGTGGCCAAAAAAGGCTGTGGGGGTTTTTTCTCCAGCAACCACGTTCATGTGGATTTAACAGAAATGAAGAAATTGAGCCAGCCTTGGTGACACACCCCTGTAATGCCAGTTACTGGGGGGCCAGGGCAGGAGGATCATAAATTTGAGGCCACCCTTGGCAACTTAGACCTAATCTCAAAGTAAAATAAAATTTTTGAAGGGCTATGGATTTAACTTACAGGAAGAGTGTTTACCTACCATGCATGAGGCCCTGGGTCCAATCCCCAGTACTGTAAACAAATAAATAATTGAACCCATCCAATTCAAGTATTAAATAAGAATTATCTTCTTTACTCCTTCCTTCCAAGAGGTCAATATACTAGATTGAAATGAGATAGTGTTAAAGCACTTCTTCACTTTTATAATTAGGTTACAAACACATTATTAAGTGCTCACTAAGTGCTCGGCATTGTACTAAGAGCTTTGTATATTTTGCAACCTTTAATTCTATTGCTATACTCATTTTAGAAAAGAGGAAAGTAAAGAACAGAGAAGCTAGCAGCCTATACTCTTGGTACCACATCTGCATTTGAGAGTTCTTATTCCATCCTCATGGATTTAATGAAATCTTACTGCATTTCAACAACCAAA